ACACAGTGGATGGATGCATGGATTATGATAAAAGCTGTACGGGCTTCCAATAAAGTGATTATTTTTTTTAAAAAAAAGAAGTAAAAATCAATGGTATTGAAGAAAGAAGTTCAAGCTGCACTGAGCCAAAAACAAGACTCCATGAATTGATGGAACACCAACTGAAATGTTTCAACAAACTGAAGAATTTACTCATCTATGCTAGGAAATTTGGAAGACAATTACCTATATACTCGTGTATAAGCGAAGTTTTTCAGCACATATTTAATGCAGTTTTTGTGGTAAAATTAGTTGCCTCGTATACTCGAGTATATATGGAAGTTGGCCAACTGACAGGAAGAGATCCGTATTCCTACCCATTCCAAAGAAAGGTAACCCAACAGAATGTACAAATTATAGGACACTATCATTGATATCACATACAAGTAAAAGCTGCAGAAGGTCATCCAACAAAAGTTGGAGCAGTACACTGACAGGGAGCTGCCAGGGGCTCAGGCCAGATTCAGAAGAGGATATGGAGCAGGAATACCATTGCTGATGCAGGTTAAAGCAGAGAATACCAGAATGATGTTTACTTGTGTTTCATTTACTATGCTAAGACATTTGACTGTGAGGATCATAACAAACTATGGAGATCCTTAAGAAGAATGGAGGTAATTTTTTTGTGGTCCGCAGTGCTTTAAATAAAATGAAAATAGAAAAAAAATGTTATGAAGAAAACAGCGCTTAGGGGAGATCGAGGCAATACGGAACACACAATCCCTAATTAACCCTTTAACTACTGAAGACGAGTATACACATGCCCAGCGCCTTTCCTGGGGGCCTGTGGACATGTATAAACGTGCTGACTCAGTTCCGGCGACATCTGGAAGCAATGTCTGCCACTCTCAGTGTCACATCATGTAAACAAATCCCAATAGCTTAAAGGTTAAAAAGAGCACTCTGGGTTGTGCTGTTAGGAATCATACCTAGCGGCAGCGCTAGTTAACATTTTTAGAGGGAAGCCATTATGATTGTGCATCACGTTTGTCAGCTGTCCTACATTTGGTGTTTTTTATTAGTTACTTTGTTATATTTTCCGGTCACAACATAAGTCTTCTCAGTTGGACATGAAATAAGGAAAAATGAAGAAAACCAATGCATTTGAACTATGATTCTGGCAAACAATACTGAAAGGACCATGGACTGCCAAAAGAACAAAGAAATCTGTGGTGGAACAAGTGCAGCAAATGCCCCTGAGCTGTAAAGACAGGTAGACTTTCTCAAGTCGTTTGGACAGGTTGTCAGGAGAGACCAGTCCCTAGAGAAGGACATCATACTTGGTAGAGTAGAAAGGCAGCAAAAAAGAGGAAGGCCTTTGACAAGATGGACTGACCCATAAGAACAATGGTGATGGTTCCGGCCCAGCAGTGTTGGGGTCTACTGTACATGGGGTGACATGAGGCAGAACCAACTCAACGGTTCCGGCCCAGCAGTGTTCGGGTCTACTGTACATGGGGTGACATGAGTCAGAACCAACTCAACTGCACTCAACAACAAACCATCCTTCCCCTCTCACTGTCGCCTAATGGAGTCTTCTGTTCTAAGGGCAGGATATCAAAACATTGTGTTACTCACTGAGTTTCGAAACAAAAGGTATGTGGTACCTTGCCTCAAAAATAATCCCATCTGAGATAATTGCTGCTGACAACACAATGATTGCAAAGTGCAATGCAGTTTTGTTTTCTAACAGTGTAAGAATTTTCAGTTAAAATGTTTGGCACTCCTTTTTCAATTTTCATGACTTCAGATTACCATGTTCACTAGGTGGCATTTCACATCAGATAAACATTCTCACAAAATCTCATTTGAATGAATAATTTGTTTATTCATGTCTATTTCAGTGTTTTCAGCAACTACTCTTATTTATTAGAACACCACTGAAAAATCTTGAAAGGCAAAGACCACTTTTTGCAATGCTATTCTTAGGAGAAAGCACTTACAAATTTCACATCATCATCAAACTTCATACCAACTACCTAATGAGTTACTTAAATTGACAACGAGAAATGGTTCTCTCTTCATATTAAAATAAACAGAATATGAATAACATGTAAACATTTTTAACCTCCCAACATTCCATTCCATTAAGAAATAGCTCATTCCAGCACAAAGTTTCCATCATCAGAAAATCCAAATTTGTGTAAAGTACTTCAAACTGTCACAGAATTCCAGCTAGGGTAAAATCTCAGTTTTTTGCTTACCCTCTAAAAGAAAACTTTTAACACAAAATATTAAAATTCAATTATTCTATTCACAATGAGTAGTTAGGAAGAACAGAAAATATTTCATAATACCCCCACATACATGATATACTTTTACACACATATCATGGGGCTTTAGAAAGTTCATAGGAAAATTCCATTATCCATTTTCCCATCAATTATTTAAAGTCCCCTCCTATATATCCCCTTACAACTAAATGGTAAAATCTTTATCAAATAGGGTAAGTCTATAACATAGATTCTTTCTTTATTCCAGCAAAGACAACTGACAAGCAGATGGGTTTTTCCCCTCTTAGATTATTAACTCATAAGAAACAATGAGTAAATTTCAGACAATGAAACATCATGCTAATCATTGCTAAATAGCAATTTTTCCTACTCATGTTTCTAAAGAGTTATTCAATAGCTATCAATTGAACATTTGAGACAGTTAGACTAAATCAAACAAAAAGCTAATGATAGATTTCTCTCATCGTATTTAACTTCTTAGAGTAAAGCAAACATCAAAAAAGTATCTACTTGTTTTATTTTAATAAAACAAATGCACAATATTAGGATGAGCCATAGATTACTCAACCTCTGATGAAGTGAAATAATTCCAATTCCAATTTGTCCAGCAAGGAATGTGTTTTTTCTTTTCTTTGCCTGCAGATTACAAATGCTCCCCCTGCCCTTGGAAATGAATAACGGAAGCCCACTTACTCATGACTGGAGATGTCTCTGTCTGTCGTCCAAATCAGGTGTTAAACCAGAATTTACTGTCCAAGAGTTCTCAGAGGAATACATGTCCTAGACAAAAAAACAAAAAGAAAGAAAATATTTTCTTAAGGTCAATGCTTTAAGTTTTCTAAAAGAAACAGAGGGGAATAATTTGTTTCAAAATCTTTCTACCACTTCCAGAACTCTTTGTAGTTAATATGTTAAAGGTAAAACACTGGTTACCTATCTTAAAGCACATATCAACTCACATTTTCCATTTTTGAAATAAATTATTTCTAAAGAAAATACCACATCTGCATTAACTATATACAATGCAGAAACTTACTAATGGGTATTCTTTGTGTCTGTCTGAATGTAAATGATTCATAAAGCATCAAAGTTTCAGAATCAGTAAATTTACTGTTCTAGATGTTTTCTAATAATGGATAATTTTGTCACTATAAAACTGATATAGGTTCTTTGGAAAGGAAGAGAGGAGCGATTGCAGTAAAACAGAAAGAAAACTTATCCCATAACACCGCACCTACAACTCTACCTGTTCGTTCTTGGGTAGACACGTTTCCTTTCCAAGCATTTTTTCCTAAGTATTTTCAAAATATATGTGATAAATGTTACATAGTATGGAAAATTGTGTTTGACTGTTGTCCCTTGAGTATCATCTTGTGTTTTTGCATTCACAAATGTGATTATACACAATAATGTATAAAATTCCATAGGTAGGTGAAGATCTTATTTGATACAAAACAGACCCTTCTCCTACCTCGAATGTAGCTTCCTTTATAAACTACTCCTTGCAGCACTAGTAGTGATGGTTACTTTATTTTCTAAAGCAGCTAAGAGCATTATACAAAGAATTTCTGCTTTTCAGCTACAGTTAAGGGTACAATATTTGCCCTGTCTGTATACTTTGCTTGTGCTGTAATAAATGTGGGAAGTAGAAATTTACAAAATGAAAAGAGATTGCATCAGCATTTATATGCACAACATGGCTCATACACTGTAATTAGCAGTAGCATATAATCATAGTGGTGCCATGTAATCACCTGACTCCCCATCAGACATGCTTTCTTCTTTATCTGCCAAGGAGATACTGTTAAATGATGTTCATTTCCAGATAACCCAGTGATCCTAATGGAAATGAGAAGGTATATGGAAAATCTAAAACAACATATAACCCACTTGACAGTTTAAGAACGTGATGAAAGCTTCTCACAATATGCTTTCTTGGTGGTCCCTGGTTTAGTCTATCACATTTCTTGTTCCCTCTAGGAAGAGGGAGAACACGGTCACCTGGAGCCTGCTGAACGAGGACTTGGAAAGGCACTCCCTTGTTAAACATACACGAAGTAATGACATGCTCACAGACGATCTAAGAGCTGGCCAGCTTTGTCTTTGCACAGTCAAGTGTCTTTGCCCAAGGACACCTCTGTTCATTTCATCTCAAAATTTGCTTCTTGTCTTTCAGTTTAAATTCCAATTTCTTAAACAGTACCACAAAGCACCTTGTATTATTGTGTGCCCATTTCATGCTCATAATCATAACCAAGCCCAAAACCAAACCCACTGCCATCAAGTCGATTACCACTCATAGCATAAGAATAAAAAGTCTAATAAATACTTTTTCCAGTATTAAAGTGATTCCTATGTGAACTTTCTTCTCAGCACTAAAAACAGTAACCTCAAAAACATCACGGCAATAAAATGTATAAGCACTGGATTTATAACCTTACCATCTGAAGTGGTAAGTGTACACAATTTTACAATTCACAAATACAGCAACAATGCATTTGTTAAAATTCGTGGAGCATGTCATGAAGTCAGACTTAGAAACATATTTACAAACTGAGCTTACTTGTTCAAGAGTCTTTGCAATACTAATCACAGCTTTAAAATGTAGAACTTCCCACCTACGTTTGAAGAAGTTCTACCAATTGTTTTAAGCAATAAGACAGCTCAGTTACACATACGGCAAAATTTTCATATTCCTTTTCTTCTCCCCTAAACACTATCCTCTCACTACATTTACAAAAATGAAAGAAGAGCCTTTTGTCTTTCGTCCTACCAGAAATGGAGAAAAGTAATCTGCTTTAAATCTACAGTTTCATATATAAGGTATTTCTGCAAAATCTTACCTATAATCGCATTTTCCAGAGAATATACAGCCACTGCCAGCAATATCTATTTTTAGCATGATCATTTATACTCATGTTAACCTAAGATGGTTTTTTTCAAGTGCCTCCTTGAACCTTAGCAACAAAACTTGACATGTATGAATCATAAGGCAAGGTGTAGGGATAGTCAATTCTGATGGAGAACTCAGACCTAGTTAAAAGCAAAGCAAGTTTCGGTGCATCCTGTCATTTACTGCAGGTGCTAAACATGGTCTAAAAACAACTTGACACTGTGAGCGAGTTCAAATCTCAGGAAGTAGCTAAAAGGATTTCTGACATTTATAACGCAAGCTACCAGCAGTCCTGATTTTAATTATTTTGAAATTGCAATGTGACAGAATTACAAACAACATCATTTGGTGTCACGTTCTAGTTTCCTTAGTATTGCAGGAGGCCAAACCAGCTAACATTTCATTGCACAATACCTTGTCCTACAAATGGAATTTGAAAAAAATCACAATCTCCACCACCAAAAGCTGATATGATCTGCATTTTCTGCACTCATCACAAATTATAATTTATAAGAATAAAACTTGCCTACACCGAATGCCAAAAACTCTCTCACCACCATTCCCTATGACTGGCCCAAGTTTGTGGGTGGGCTTGGTTTTGGTTTTCATCCACTTTCAAGATAGTTTCTCTCCAACTACATGTGCTCTCACGTGAATGAAACCGTGGCATACATAAGGGCAACAAGAAGCTAAAGGTGATAGGTAAGATCTTAACATCTTCAGCCAGGGTTCTAGTCTGACTTTTTGAATCCTAGAATACCAAGTGCAAATGAATTAGTTGATTCCTGCTCACTCCTAATTTTTAACGACATGGTATCAGTTTCCATTTGAAGAACTTCTATTACTTTTTCTGTGAACTTTTCCATTTTTATCATTTAAGATGATAAGGAGATCTCCAACTAAAAATAAAGCTGCTAATGATTTTCCCCCAAAAGATTTTTGTACTCAAACAGCTTGCAAATCCTCACACTTCATGACACCAAAAAATGCTTCACAAAATACAAGAAGCATCCTTTAAAGTACACAGCTAACCTCACAAAAAATGTGAGACCAAAAAATGAAGCACAAACAAATACAGACAGACTGTTAAGTGGACAAATTCCCTAGAGGCACTCTCAATCTCCCATGGCCAAGCTGCAGTGCCACTAAATACACAGGGCTACATAAATTTACATTAATGGAATTATGTAAAGTTTTAAATTGCATTCTTCAGACATAATAGTCACATGTGGCTATCGGCTATCATACTGCACACCACAGATTGAGAACATTTCTGTCAATGCTTAAAATTCTGTAGTACAATACTGAACCACTTTCCATTTAACAATCGGGGTAAAACAGAAGACAAAGTCTCAGGCTATGCAATTTGCAAAGTTGAACTCCACAGATAACCACATAAAGCCTGCATCCAGGAAGCACTGCACCTTCAAATTAAGGATAAACAAGGAAGAAATATCGACTCTTCAAAGCTAGATGATAAGGAAGAGTGTCACTTGAATCTGGATGCACTTGTGAGCTGGGAAGGGAAAAGGTAGGGAAGGAAAGGAAGTATTCCCTGAAAACTTGTAAACAAAAGCCAATCTTCACAGAGGCTTCAAGTTCAAGTCCACACTACTCACATTATGTGAATATCTCCAACCTTCAAAGAAAAGGGCTCCCCTTAATAGACTCCTCCAATGCAAGTCTGCTCCGGAGGAAAGTACTCAACACACATCTCATATAAATTTCCACAGATCAAGCCACGATAATGGTGAGTCCAAAACCAATAACTATGGAAAATAAACAAGATTCAACAAAAGCGATAAAGAGCAGTCATAATTTTTTAATAATAGTACTATGTTTTAAAATACCATATATACTCGAGTATAAGTCCACAAAGGCACCTAATTTTATCCACTAAGGCAACTAATTTTACCACAAAAACTACATTAAAAATGTGCTGGGAAACGGCTTATACTCGAGTATATACGGTGGATCATGAAACCAAAAAAGCAATAATTTGGGGGGCGGGGGAAAGAAAAATATCATAATTAAAAGCCTCAAAAGAGAGGTTCAGAGGACTGAATGAAAAGGGAACGAAATGAGATAAAAGATCTGAAATTACCCAGAATGTAACAAAGAAAGGCGAGGATGAAAAATATAAAGGGAGATTAAGGTGCACAGACTATAGCAAACATCCTCAAACTATGGCCCGTGGGCCACATGTGGCCCGCCGAAGAAGACATTTATCCGGCCCGCCTGGTGATTTTGCCGTTTGTTGTTTTACTTCAAAATAAGGTATGTGCAGTGTGCATAGGAATGTGTTCATCGTTCCTTTTTAAACTATAGTCTGGCCCTCCAACAGGTCTGAGGGACAGTGAACTGGCCCTGTTTAAAAAGTTTGAGGACCCCGGGACTACAGACTAAAGTATCTCATACATACACCTAATAGAAGTTTTAGAAAGAGAGCATTAAAAATGGAGAGACGCCCTTTCCCCTGGCCGGCAGCGCGAGGCCGCACGATGCCTGGAGTTCCTGCACAAGGCAAGAGCCAGCAGGAGTTCGCCGAAGCTCTGGCAGCCTTCCTCAAAAAGTCCGGGAAGCTGAAAGTCCCTGAGTGGGGAGACACGGTCAAGTTGGCCAAGCACAAAGGGCTTGCTCCCTATGACGAGAGCTGGTTCTACACGCGAGCTGCCTCCACAGCACGGCACCTGTCCCTTCGGGGTGGCGCTGGGGTCGGCTCCATGACCAAGATCTACGGGGGCCGGCAGAGGAAGGGTGTCATGCCCAGCCACATCAGCCGTGGCTCCAAGAGCGTGGCCCGCCGGGTCCTTCAAGCCCTGGAGGGGCTCAAGATGGTGGAGAAGGACCAAGACGGCGGCCGCAAACTGACACCTCAGGGACAGCG